AAACACGGCGGGGGCGTGTGGGATTTCCACCCACTAAACTCCTCGGCGTTCTCTGCGCTGTGCGTAGGCTAGTGAGCGGGAACGGCAAGCCATACTTCCGCTCACTACGCACGAGTCCCATGGACTCCGTCTTCGGCAGGGGTCACAGTGGCTTCACCACACTTCCCCTCCGACTCCAGAGCAGCGTGCCGGGAACGCCAAGCACGCCACTCTCACTCCAGCCTATGTTGCCCGGACGCCGGTTCCCCACCAACGCCCGGAGGCTCCTCTCACTGGGGAGGCATTTGGCGAGCGTAGGCCCGCTGCCTTCTACCCAGCCTTCGTCGACGCAGGGGCGCCGAGGAGGGGTCATCTTCCCGCGCTCGTTCAGCGGCCTCTTTCCGCGAGATGATGCACTCGCTGAACCGGACCACCGCCTCCCAGGCACTCTCGCTACCGACCATGGCCTGAACCACTGCCGGCAACGAGAGATCTGCGCCAACCACCGCGGTGAACTTTAAAAAACTTCAAATTAACTTTCAAAATAAACTAACACAAATTAACAAAACATATAATTTAACATTTACGCTTCTTCGGGGGTATGCCTGTCATTAGATATATTTTCTTTCTCCTCTTCTTTTAAAGAAATTAAATCACCGCAGACTGACAGCATTGATTTTTGTTTTTTCTCGTTGTCCGAAGAAACATCATCAGTCTCCAGCAACTTTTTGACTATCATCAACTCTTCGTTATCGACCTTAAAGGAGAAAATATATTAGATAAATATTCAAATAATATTAACTATTGTGAATGTATCTGCTAATAAGTATTATTTTTCATTTTACTGTACTCAGTGACCTACATCATTAACTTACCCACAAGTCATCATCAAATAAATCTTGGGAATTGTCAGGTTGTATTGTAGAGGCAGCTAGTGAATTAACAGATGCAACAGGAGCAGTTTGATTTTTTGAAAAAAGGGTTTAAAAGTGTCCGAGCTTTGGTTATTCTTAACTGCCTAATTGTTTCTAGGCCACAGCACTCGCAATAATTGAAATTATCTGCAAAAATATATTATACAATTAATAATGTCTATTATATAATAAGAGCCAGCCAAGTTCAAGTAGAACTTGCGCATGAAGGGGTTCATTTCATTATAGACAAAAACGATGAAAAAATCGTGTCTGTTTCTGTATGTGTTCATGACACCTATGCATGTGGTCATTTATTATTATTTGTCGAATTATAGAGAAAAATATTGAACCGCTTACCGAGTATAATGTTGTCGCATTCCACACATCGACTGCACGTTTGCTTTTGTTTGCCACCTCTGGCAAATATTTTGCCATTACAAAAAATTGCATGTCACTGGAAGTAAATAAGTACTTATTTTATTTTTAAATGCAGAAGGCTTACAATCCACACTTTAAGAAGAAAACAAAATAAAGTTCACTTATAAACACAACCTGCCTACATACCTACTAAAATACTACTCACCATCTTAACGAAGAGCCCTTCGCTCCATCCACTTTCCACAATTGTGACAATGTTTGCCAAATGCAAGGAGATTCGGCTGTTAACAAAATGATATAGGTATCATCAAACAAAAGACTAAACGAAGACAGACACGACCAACGAAACATTTTATGAAATACTTACGATTTTCGGCATGATGTGTGTAATCCAAACAAAGTAAATGACAATGACATTTGAACAACCAAATGACATTTGAACTAAAACTTCGACTTTAAGGTTCGCAATTCGCAATCGGCCACTCTTAGGTTTAAAGAAAAAACACATAACAAAAAGTATATCATAAATAAGTGACAAAACAATATTTTCGCGAAACGTCAACGACGATAAAAAAATATTAAGAATTTTTATTGTTAATCTTTAAAAATTGAATAAATAAATGAAAGAAACATTGATACACTTTTAATCTATATACAGGGTGACTGGTGAATTACTATCGATATTTGAGGACGTGATATTTGACGATCATATATGACAAAATAAAAACTAATATAACATTAAAATGTTAATAAACTTCTAAGTAAAGTTAACCAAAAGTTATGTAATTAATTACGCATCGTGTGAACACCCTACAGATTAGGTATACATACACACACACACACACACGCGCGTGCGGCGGCGTGGTGTTGTATTAGCACGCCGACGCACGTGTCCATACTTGGAACTCTTGGAACGTGTCCACACTTTATTTATTTATACTACTTTATCCCGTTCGACAGCATTACCTTGGGACTTGACATGAAACGACAGTCACTATAAAACGTGAAATAACGAAACACAATTGACAGCTATGCAATTGACGTATAATAACAGATATGTAATGACGTAATGATGACAATTAGATATTTGTAAGAGATCTTTCTACTATATAAAAATAAGTCCGATTTTCGATCCTGACGCTATAACTTCAGAACGAACGAACCAATTTCCACGGTTTTGCATACGTTGGAAAGGTCTTGGGCTCCGTGAGGCTTATAACAAAAAAAAAAAAAAAAAAAAAAAAAAAAAAAAAAAAAAAAAAAAAAAAAAAATTTCCTACAGAGTAATTCGGAAAACAGAAAGAAAAAAAGAAGAGAAGAAAAACAGAGGACCATCTACTACGAAACTCGTCTGGCAAAACGCTAAGCCCTGAAGAATCGGCAGAATTACTAGCCAAAACCTTCTACCCGGACGACTCAGTAGAAACAGATACACCATATCACACAAGGATGAGAACAACAGCACAGCCGTCATCACCTACATTGCCTACATATCCGCACCAAGACGATCCACCATTCACGCTGGTAGAGCTCAACTCAGTACTCTCAACACTGAACCCGAGAAAAGCTCCCGGCCCGGACGGATTCACCGCGGACATATGTACGGCTGCCATCACAGCGGACAGAGAGGTATTCCTGGCGCTCGCCAACAAATGCATGGCGCTTGGTCACTTCCCTGATCAATGGAAAACGGCACATGTAGTGATTCTAAGGAAACCCGGCAAAGAAGACTATACCCATCCAAAGTCTTACCGTCCCATCGGTCTGCTGTCTATACTCGGTAAAATTCTCGAGAAAATGATGGTAGCCCGCATCCAGTGGCACATTACCCCCACACTCAATAAGAACCAGTACGGGTTCCTACCACAGCGAGGCACTGAAGACGCTCTCTACAACCTAGTCCAAACCATCAAGGACGGGGTCACAGCCAAGAAAATTGTACTGGTAATATCCTTGGATATAGAGGGTGCCTTCGATAACGCGTGGTGGCCAGCCCTAAAACACCAACTGGTCAAGAAGAATTGCCCAAGAAACATCTATGGCATGGTAGGTTCATATCTGGAAAACCGCAAAGTCGTCGTAAACTATGCCAGAGCAACGAGTGAGAAGAACACGTCCAAGGGTTGCGTACAAGGATCCATCGGAGGCCCGACCTTCTGGAACGTCATACTAGACTCGCTCCTGCAGACCCTCAGCGATGAAGGAACTAGTTGCCAGGCATTCGCAGACGACGTAGTACTTACATTCACAGCTGATTCCATCAAACAGCTTGAAGATTCCGCCACCAGGACATTGCAGACAATAGTGGAATGGGGACAGCAAAACAAGTTAAACTTCGCGCCACACAAGACCTTCGCAATGATGGTGACGAAGAAACTGAAGCTCCACAACCCCGTAATCTACATGGCAGGCAAGGAAATCGCCCTAGTGAAGGAAATTAAAGTCCTGGGCCTCATCATCGACAACAAACTGACCTTTGCCAAACACATAGCATCAACATGCAAGAAAGCAGCTGGCATATACAAACAGTTGGCCTGCGCGGCCAAGGTCACATGGGGCCTAAATCAAGAAATAATCAGGACAATCTACACAGCGGTTATAGAACCTATAGTGACATATGCGGCAAGTGCATGGGCACCGGCAACAGAATTGAAGAAGATCCAAGACGTATTAAACTCCACTCAGCGAGGATTCGCTCTAAAGATATGCAAGGCATACCGAACGGTCTCGTTAACATCGGCGTTAATTCTAGCAGGAATATTGCCATTAGACCTTCGGATACAGGAAGTGTCCAACCTCTACAGGACCAAGAAGGGACACATAAAGGACTATCTACCACCTGGCAGGGAACTCGAGACAAAGGTGAGTTATCTAAACTACTCTCATCCGGCTCAACTAACATCCATTGAGTACGAGCTCCTGGAAAACATGGATCCTGAAACCATAAAGTCACACCAAATAGAAGGACCCCAGTTATACACCGACGGCAGCAAAATAGAAGGTAAAACTGGGGCCGCAGTAACATGGTGGGAAGGAGGTAGGGAAATCATGTACTCAAAACTCAGCCTAGATCCATCCTGTACAGTGTTCCAGTCGGAGCTCTATGCCCTACACAGAGCGATAAGGATGGTGAAGAACAACGACTCACCATCAATCAACGTCCTCAGTGACTCAAGATCCTCGCTGGAACTTCTAAAATCAGCCAAAGAAGTCTTGCCCCTACAGAAACAAATCAAAGATGATATCCTAGAAATGACAACAGCCGGACGAAAAATCAGATTCTTCTGGCTACGAGCACATGCAGGTACAGTGGGAAACGAGAGAGCAGATGAACTGGCTAAATCAGCAGCCCTACTAGAAACCTCAAACCCAGGTTACCAGCTAATCCCCCTGTCCTACGCCAAGAGGAAGATCCGAGAAGAAAGCCTCAAAAGATGGCAACAGCGATACAGCCGTTCACCAACAGGCACGGTCACAAAAATGTTCCTCCCCGACGTTGACTCAGCATACAGAATGGTGAGGAGCACTAAACTAACACCAACACACGTGCAAATGCTGACTGGTCACGGAGGCATAGCTCAATACCTGCACAGATTCAGGCTAATAGCGAGTCCGGGATGTGAGTGTGATCCCACCGTAACCGAGACGGTGTGGCACTTACTCCTGAACTGCCCAAGATATCAAGGATCCAGAAGAGATCTAGAAAACCTAATCAACACCACCGTCGACATGGAGATCTTACCAACAATACTCTGTGACAAGAAGACCAGGGAACCGTTCCTCGCATACGCTGACAAGATTCTACGGGCAGCCGCAAAAAGATATAGCAACGCGGACCGGGATAGAGCAGCTGAAGAACAGATCATCATCTCCGGTATAGACCCAACACCCAACTCCCGGCATATAGAACCGCCCACCCAAGTCGGTATGCCTAGACAAAAAATCGAAAGCATACTATCAATGGGAGAGAGTGGGATCCCGGGACTAAGAACGAAGAGCGTGGCCCTATACATGGACACCCCCTATGAAAAACTGGGGATCAGCTTCTGCTCGAACACCGGACCGAACAGCGTATCTATTGCACCGGGACTGGCCTCAATCATAAAAGGCAACTCTGGGAGAACCGCCATGAGGAGGAAGAAACTGGAAGCAATAGGGGAAGTGGAAGTCGGAAACCACAAATGCCGCGTCTTGTACATCAAGAACAAGACAATACTAATCCTGGAGGCACAAAACGACAGATCCCAGTTCAGCTTAGCCCGATCCCTCCTCTCGGCAATAGCAAAGACCAGCAAAGACAATGCGTTACCACCCAAGATCATAAGCATCGACGCATTGTCCGCGGGCTACTACAAGGGTGAAGTATTAGATCATCTAGGAAGTGTAGAAGCATCAGAATTTCACGAGGTGATCATATACGAAGACAGAGGGGAAGACCTAAGTTACCTGAAGATCCGGAAACCCAAAACCCCCACTGTCACCCCCGCTACAGGTTATCCATCAAGCCTAACTAGCTCCGGTAAACCATCAGGCTCAGAGCTTCAACAACGGAGATTCCAGGAAAAGAGCACTCAGAAAGACCCCAAAGCCAAAAAATCTTCGGCCGGGTGCACCATATCCTCGATCCTCCAAAAGTTAACGCACGGAGCTCGAAGTAAACCATTAATCGAGTCGGCAATCCACGGAACACCCCCAACAGCCTACAAAAACCCACCACACAGTGCGCCAACAAGAAGAACCAAAGCCGCAATGGGTGTGGTTCAGTCTCCTGAATATAGGAAGATCGTCGAACCAAGAGACCATCTTATAAATGCGTTCCTTGAGTATATCTCAATAATTAAAGGGCAAAAAGCGGAGAAGACCAACAGATGCCGCAAAATCCTAGAGACGTTCCACCTAGGGAACGAAGGTTTATTGAAGGTATTACTCGAGGAAGCCGAAGCGACGATCTACAACAACAGCACCTCGGAAGTGGTTAGGGGAAGACAAATGCAACCCCATATGGCTGCATAAAATGGAGAAAAGGGCATTGTCTACCTTAACAAGACTGACACCGGGAGATCAGGAATTCTGACCTATGACACCCCACCCACGGACCCGATAGTGGTTGTAACCGATTCCACAAGGATCTACCTCGAGGACAGCATATTAAAAAGAGCGGACGAACTGATGGAAGCCACCGACCTCGAGGAATGGAAGGTTCCAACCATCAACTGGACAAACGGTGTACCGGGATGCGGTAAGACGACCTGGATAGTGAAGAACTTTAACGAGACCACGGACATAGTAGTGACTACAACTACAGAAGGTAAGACAGATCTGAAGAACAAGGTGGCGATCACGAAGGGACCCGCCGCCGCGGCCAGAATCCGTACAATCGCATCAGTGATCGCGAATGGGGTCAAACGGAACATAGTGTGCCAGAGACTAATAATCGACGAGGCACTTATGAACCACTTTGGCTCCATAGTAATGGCACAACAAATCACTGATGCCAGCGAGGTTCTGCTGATCGGCGACATCAACCAACTCCCCTTCATTGAACGCGAAAATCTCTTCAGACTGTACTACAAAGGGCCTGAACATCTGGCAAATATAAATCAGGAACTACTGTGTACCAGACGCTGCCCTATGGACGTAGCCTACGCGCTCAAAGACATCTATGACGGCATCTACTCCTCCAACGGGATAGTAAAATCCGCTGTGCTGAAGGAATACACTGGTGCGAAAATACCCAAACACCTACCTAGGACCCTCTACCTTACGTACACGCAGAAAGAGAAATCTGAACTGCTGCAAGAAGGATACGGAACTGGAGAAGAATCCCGCACCATGACTATTCATGAAGCCCAAGGTCAAACCAGCGAGATCGTCGTAGTTATAAAACGCAGCCCCACCAACTGCTCACTGCATAACAGCGTGCCCCACGCGGTAGTAGCTATGTCCAGACACACAAAGGCCTTCTTTTACTATTCAGATAACCATCAAGACGCACTTGGAAAAATCATCACTGTATCAACATCAGCAACCAGCCAGGAGATCAAGAACTACAACATCAAAATGGCAATCAAATCGAGGGATTTCAACACCATTAAGAATATAACTGAGAGCTAATTCTTGAGAAATATCTAAAATTAAATCTTGTTGTCTAAAAAGGGCATGGACCCTAGAGTTCATGGAGTTTAATAATAATAATAAAAAAAAAAAAAAAAAAAAAAAAAAAAAAAAAAAAAAAAAAAAAAATTTCAACAGAAAAGCGGGAAAAACTTTTTTCATATACAGCGGCATCATACATAACATGTACTACAAATCAATATGTTAAGTAGATGGTGCCGGTGCATGATACATTGTTTGACAGCTACTCATTGTTCAGTGTTCTCTGCTCAGTTAACTTCATGTGACAAACCGGTATTGTGTTTGTAGTTTGAACTCTTAAAACCATTTAGTATTCGCGGGATAAATTTAGATAATCATTGTTTTTCACATGGGCGTTATATTTTGCGTGTTCCCGAGTTTGGAAACCATCCGCTTTATTTGTGTTAAAGTTAGACCAAAAAACAAAAAATGGGGTTTACAAAGGACCACTTCAATGAAACGAATAATTTGCGGACACGTATAACGCTTCGATTCGATATCTACTTTGGATTCACTTTCATTTACTTAGAGAAGTTCAACTAAATAACACTTCGTTATTGTAATCGAAATGAATTTCATTACTGTTGTGAAATGAAATAAAAATTTTCCTTTTCAAATATAAAAAAAAAAAAATTCTTCATCTTTTAATCACCATACGAAATGTTATATAAAAGCCTTCTGGTGGCGAAACGGAGTTCGCCGGGTTTACTAGTTATTAATATAAATTAATAATATCAAAGATAATGAAAGGTCTCCATATAGAGATCAAAATACATCAAAATTGCATCACTTTAAATTTGTAAGCGTCAATGATATACAAATATGTGACAGGCTTATTTTGGTTCAAAGAATTTTCTTACAAGTCACTAAATTCAAGTAATTAGAGAGACGTGTTTATTATAAGAACTGTAATAATTTCTAAATTAGGTTTATTTAAAAGTTTTTTGTGAATCTAACAATCCCAATATAAGTTCAATTCATTAGGTTTGTAAAAAGAGCATCATTAGCAAGTTCTCTTCGAATTTTATGAAGAAAACTTAAATAAATGAATGTATATATTCCTATGTATTAAGCATATAACACTATATATCTTAAATATTTCAATGAGAAACTCTTGTATATATTTATATTGGAATCTCGGAATCGGCTCCAAAGATTTTCATGAAATTTAGTATAGAGGTTTCGGGGCGATGAATCGATCTAGCAGGCAATCATTTTTAGGAAATGTTATTTAATGAAAAATCATTGTCAGACGTCAATAGCCCAATAACAAATAAGGATGACAGTATAAAAAAATAACAAAAAGGAGGCGTTAAAAAAATGACTCTTCCTGACATCTATTGGCGAATAGTAATACTACTTGTTGCTAATTGCTTTAACGACACAACAGCAGATGTCGTCATTAAGTAACAGGAACTAGGAAGTCAATGTTTGTTTTGTGGTCAGACTAAGAAATTAATTGTTGATTTATATTGTTTTGTGTCCTCTAAACGTGTTCACTTAAAAATGTCTCAACAAAAAAAAATACACAAAATATAAACTAATAATTGCTAAATAACTAGCAAAGCTCGGTGTCTAGAAATTTGAAAGTGAACTTAGAACTCAAAATTTAGTTTGTTCTTGGTAGACAATTATATAACTTGGATAATAAGACAAAAAAATATTAAACTATTTGAAGATTTTCCATTTAATTATCAAAATAATTCTTTTTAAATATTCATCGGTTCACTAATTTCTTATTTTATACTTTTCAATATATTTTATGATATGAATAGAAAACCAAAGTAACTTTTTATTATACATGGCGTTCACAATGTCAGTAGGACTTCTATATTAATATAATAAAACCCATATATATGTTATAAATGGTATTTATTTACAGTACACTTATGTCATTGTTCTCAGTATTCAAATTCAATAATATTTTCAAAGTCAATATCTCTGTCTGTGTCACTGCTCACTTCTTCGGCTGCCTGCAAATTAAATATTGATATATATATATATATATATATATATATATATATATATATATATATATATATATATATATATATATATATATATATATAAGATATATTATTGTGATTTATATGACACAATCAATTAAAAGATTAATGAGTTTCTCTGTAAAAAAGAAACTACATTTTTAGCTATTAATATACTATGTAGATTCCAATATCTTCGTCTTCTTTCTGGAATTTTCCCAGCTATAGCCAGGGTCTGCATTGTTGTGAATAGTTTTGGCTTATTGTTTTTATGACCGGCACCCTGACATCAACCCTCTTTGGACTCGTACATATAAACATCACATTGGTAGTTGCCAGGGCCAGGATCGAACCCGCACCCTCGTGTATGAGAGGCGGGACTTTTAACCACTATTCCACTGTTAGATAACAAGCTTCTCCGAAACGGCTGGACCGATTTTGATGAAATTTTGTACGCATTTTGAGTAGCTCTGAGAATCGGCCAACATCTATTTTTCATACCCCTAATTCATAAGGGTTGGTCACCGTTATTTTTCTTCGTAGGATTTATTTTTTTATAATGTAGCATTGAAAAATACATACAACCCAAAAATTTTACTTTTTTCATCACCGAAACCTATTTTTTATATTATGATAAAATAACGTTTGCCGGGTTAGCTAGTATATATATGTGTATGTATATGTTATATGTATGTATGTATGTGTTATATATATATACTAACAGTCGTCATCATTGTCCGAGCCCGAGTCTGATCCGTCATCGTTTTCAGAGCCTCCAGCGAGGTCGTCTTCCTCCTCGTCTTAGTGTAATATTTAATTAAAGAAAAACCAATACTATTTATAATAAATGCTATATGTAAGGGGCCGTTCAAGTATTACGTAAGCACTATGGAGGGGCGGGGAGATCTTTGCTATGCTTATTTTGGATGACATGGGGGGTAGGGGAGTCTAGGTATTGATTATGTCATCAGTAGTTATTTACTTTTTTATCGTCACATCGAGAAGATCCATACGAAAATATTTGTTTTATTTTTTTTTTATTTGTATTTAAAAAAAAAACAATACAGTAATTGAAAATGTTTACGTAAGCATGAGGGGAGGGGTAAGAGTTTTGCTTACTTTTGCTGACAAGGGGGTTGGGGGGGGGGGTTAATATTAATACGTAATACTTGAACGTCCCCTAAGTACAGTAGAAACTCAATTATCCGGCCCTCAGTTATACGGATTCGCGATTATTCTGACCACGGACAAGTCCGGACAAGAAGAAATGTCAAAGCGTAAGAGAGCGGTGTTGTTGAGAGTGCCGTACGCCAAATGACTATTACCAAATATTCTAAACCAAATTAAACTTATTATTTTAATTCATCGTCACCAATTGCAAAATAACAAATACATATTGTTCTTTATTTTTTAAATAAACATGTAATATTATGTACTACATATGCACAAAACCGGCCTTTTCTTCATACATCCGGATGTTCGATTATCCGAATGCCTATCGACAACAAATAATCCGGTTAATCTTCTGTATATCAGTGTTTGTCTGTCTCTGTGTGTGTGTCTGTTTGTGTCTGTATATCTCCTCACCGCGTCAACTTCACACACGACTCCTGAACTTGTTCAAAGTCCCCCATGTTCTCTACTAGCGCTATCTGCGTCCCGTAGCGAGTATATGTTGCGTTTCACGTCGATCGTGGCTGAAACAGTAATATATATGATATAGCTCTAGTGCTATGCCCACCAGTCCTATTTGTGTGCGTGGCGGGTACTCACCGATGCTGGAGTAGTCGTAGGCGTCCAGGGTCTTGAAGCTGGTGTCGAACTGACTCCTCTCCTTTGAGTGTTGGTCGGAGCACACCGCGTATAACACGCCGCACGACGGACTGGACGTTACCTGAAACAAACACATATATATATAGAGAGAGAGAGAGAGAGAGAGAGAGAGAGAGAAAACCTCTTAGCATTCAATGTATTCTATAGTGAGAGGAGCTTCAACAGTGCCTGGGACTTGTGACCCAGGTTTAGGTTTAAGGGGCCCTATCTAATGCGTTAAACGCTCACCTCCACTGTCCAAGCTCCTCTCTCTACCAAATTTGATTAAACCTACTAGGGCTGCCTTGGAAGTATGTTCCAAGAATAAATTGTTGTTAGTTCTGGACAAGCCCAAGTCTTTTAGTAGGTTGTATATATATATATATATATATATATATATATATATATATATACAGGGTGACTGGTGAATTACTATCAATATTTAAGAAGCATACCCGGTACATGATTCTCCTTCGAATTATGTAAAAAAATAGGTACTTAATTTTTGACCAAATTTCCGTATAAATAAATAAAGTGTGTACACATTCCAAGTGTTCCAAGTGTGGACGTGTGCGGCGGCGTGATGATACAACACTACGCCGCCGCCGCGTCTGTGTGAGTGTATGTGTAGACCTAATCTGTAGGGTGTTCATATGATGCGTAATTAATTACATAACTTTTGGTTAACTTTACTTAGAAGTTTATTAATATTTATGTTATATTAATTTTTATTTTGTCATATATGATCGTCAAATATCACGTCCTCAAATATCGATAGTAATTCACCAGTCACCCTGTATATATATATATCGGATTTAATACAGATTCGTTGATTTTAAAGAGAGGGACGCCAGCTTCGCTGACGTTACAAATGTCACTTCTTTCTTTATTAAAGCTGGTAGCGCCGATATATATATATATATATATATATATATATATATATATATATGTATATATATATATATATATACATATATGTATATATATATATATATTTTGCTGTATATATCTGTGTGTATGTTTGTCACATACCTCTGATTCGTCCAAGGAAGGTACGGTCCTCAACAGATGGAAGGTTCACAAATCTCACACTTCCGTGTTTGATGTCACCTGGAAAAGGAAACGGCAGTGAGTCAATACATAGTCTACACGTTGATTAAAATGTTTGTTTTATAATGTTACACAATAATTAGGCAGTTGTAATTTCCTTGTAAAAATAGTAAGTAATTTCCTTAAATTGTTAGTAATTTCCTCACCGTCTGCGGGCCAACTGCCTAACGACGAATTAAACGATTCTTCTATCGCACATTAAGTCGATAATTTGTAGACAATTGACGTGCCCCACGCTTTTATTTTAGTCTAGTCTGTGCATATGTTTGTAATTCCCACGACTGTATCTATTTTATTATTTTTTTGGTTTTTAGTACATTTGTCTTAAACATTGCAATGTATGTTTCACGTAAAACCGTTTAACTTTAAAAGTTACCTATTTTTTTAGAAAATGTAATTTTATTAAAAAAAATTACAAAAGGAGTCGTTTAAAATATGACTCTTCCCGACATCTATTGGCGAATAGTAATAGTACTTTTTGCTAATTACTTTTACTAATTGCTTTAACGACAAAACAGCAGATGGCGTTATTAAGTAACAGGAAGTCATTGAGTGTTTGTTTTGATGTTAGACTAAGAAATTAATTGTTTATTTATATTGTTTTGTCTTATTAACGTGTTCACTTAAAAATGCTAACATGAAATAGAAGAAATAAATACTAATAATTCCTAAATACCGAGAAAAGCTCGGTAACCATATATTAAATATATATATTAATATAATTTTGTTTCACATACTAATTACTCAAGTCTGTTCAAGCCTCTTAGCTCTTGACGGTCGTCTGCTTCTTGGTGGAGCCGCTCACTGACATGCGGTTAAATAATATACACATTATAAACACTGACAAGTCAGTGGTGGCCTAGTGGTTAAAAGGTTAGTGGTTAATGTCGAAACAAATTAACAAACTTGATATAATATGTAGTAGATACTTCCAATATTAATGTTTGGTAAACGGTTAATAGTTCATATATAACAAGATGTCATGTAGATGTCGCGACCAAGCTACCTCTGCTAATCACTAAATGTACATTATAATACATCGTACCGTACCGTACAATGTGGTTCCGTATATTGTAAACACTATATACATTACATTAAGTATTATACTGGACCGTACCCGTTGCATGGCCTCCAGAAACTTGCCCATCTTCTTGAAGCTCGACTTCTTAACATCTAAGGTTCGGTCGGACATGCACACAGCGGCATGAGGTGGTTCCTTAAACAAACACATGCATCCTATTAACACAGAGAATCAATACTAATATTATAAATGCGAAAGTTACTCTGTCTGTCTGTCTGTTACGCTTTCACGCCTTAACCACTGAATTGATTTTAATGAAATCTGGTACAGAGATAGAGTTGACCTTGAAAAAGAACATAGGATAGTTTTTATCACAGACCTTTGAAAGGTTCTCTTGAAAACGCGATATAACCGAACTCCACGCGGGCAGAAAATTAGTCATATATAAAATATACTTTATAATGTCTAGAGTAGTCTTTGAATACGAAAGGTGTTCTTAATACATCTTGAACATGTTCCCCAAGTCGTAACTCTTTGGAACAATCCTAAATGTTCAAAGTTAATCAAACAATACTAACTTGTATAATAAGTTCGTCTTGAGCGGCAGTTCAACATGTTTAGCCTCCAATTTAAGAAATGAAAGCAAACACCAACGAAGGAGACCGTCCATGTCACCCGGGATTGAGACTTCACATGATACATCTGAAAAAAAAACATGCATTATATAAAAGGATCAAGTAAAAGATGAATCGTTACTATTGAAATAATCTCACGCCATTGAAAGACGAACCGGTGAGAATTCTAAAGGATATTGACATTTTGTTCCAGATATTAAAAATGATATAAAGTTTGATCAACTACAATCAGCAGACGCCATTTTAAGAGATATAGAAGCATGTGTTGACGTGACTCTCTAATATATTTGTTTTTCTTGTTTTAGTGTATTCATTTGTATTGTTTATTGTAAGTAAGAAATTACAATCAACATCAAAATTTTCGCGAGTCTTATACATTTAAATGAAATTCATATTTTTAGGATGTACTACGTGACTTTCTTTTTGATAAAAACTATATACTCCCATACTCCGGCTACTTTACAGCGACCCTGATTACGGTTAGGTGAGATATTTATCAAAACTAAAGTCGCATAGTAATATGAAAAATATTAGTTTCATTTAAATCATTATTATCTCATTCTAGAACATCTATCCATATCTTCACTTGTGTTATTTACTACCTGACTCTGCTGTATTATTGAGGTCATTATTTTCCTCGTCTTGGGATACATTTGTAATTGTTTCAGGGACTGAGTCAACAATGACTGCCGGTTCATTGATGGGAGCAGACTCTGTCTTCACTAGACTTGGCCATTCGTCTTTGACTGGTTGAATGTTTAACTGTGAATGTTATGCATATACAAAATATATATAATTTGGAAACATTTTGAATTAAATTATTTAATAATTCCCTGCACTTTTCTATATTTGTTATAGATTTTTAAATGAATAAATCATAACATAAACAAGATAATGTAAGATTTATTATTTTCAATCAAAGACTAAGTATTTTTATTAATATACAGCAGTATAAAGTATGAAGTAATGTTACCTTATTGATCTCATTAGTCAATAGTTCAGTTATGTTGTAGGATCCAGGATCTAGTTTGGGTCTCTCTATTTTCACAAATTTCTTTTCTTTATACAATTGATCCCCAAATACATGAAGGATTTCCAGACAAACACTCCTGTCAATTGAAAAAGCTTAATTTAGATATAATGAGAATATATATATGTGTATGTAATAAATAATATCGATATACACTATTAGTGACAAAAATTCTATGTTATTAACTATATCATGCAAAGTTCTTCAGCAAAAATGTTTCAGAATACTTAGAAATTTTCTATCAACTACAACAAACATGACGAGCACTTAACAATCTTTTTAAACCTGACACCTGACCTACATTCTGTCTCTCAGTAGTTCAGCGGAGGATATTTTGGCTCGTCCAACTATACAGGCAGCGGCATTGTGTCCGGTACAAGCAGCTACCAATGCTCCTGAAGGATACTGGGGGAACTGACCGTGAGTGTTCACACCAGGAACATACAGAGGGGCCCCTCCGTGGATCTGAAGAGTTAGAATTCACATTTATATATACTTTCCTTCATTACCTCTTTAATATATGATAGAAAATAATGTAAATACATAACAATTATATTAACAAATGAAAGATATTAACATTAATGACTGTAAAAATTATGTCCTATTAGGAGAGGTTATGATAAATAATTACTAAGGAAAATAAGATCACAGAACATAAATCTTACCATCTATAATATTAAAGAGTGAGTGTATATTTAGTTACACTACAAATCAATATTTGTATTTTAATCAATATTACAATCAATTGTATTTTAATCAATATTGAAATCATATAAATCTATATATTACCTTACTTAGAACTGGGGTGTGTATACAAATAATGGGCACCAAATCTGGGGCTTTCCACAAAGCACAGATAGTTGGGATCAAACTTTCACCGAGATCGATCATGACCGGTACTCCATCCATCACATACACTCCTGCAGTGTCTCCAGAGTGAACACTAACTCCATATGACTAACATTTGATTTGTTCGGAACTAACTCCTTGACATTTTCTTCAGTAATTCCCAGAAACTCATATTGTATACGTTGCGCAAGTTGTTTTCTGAAATATGAATCCTTGAGATTCTGAAGTCTTGACATGAAATTTAATTAAACATTAACTTAAATGACTACGCAATGAAACCTACTTCCCTGAATTTTTCAATGTGTTGTTTGATTTTAATTTGTACGGTTTGGCGAACATAGTTACTGGGTATTTAAAACAGCTGCCGTTGTGACTTATGTCAGACGTCTGAAGTTACGATTCATGAACTGACATGTTGTATTCTTATTAATATTGGTTGGGAGCATTAATGCTTGGATGTGAATGTTTTATTTTAAAAACAATTCCCATTCCACTAAGCTGTTATTAGAATTATATTTCTTTTATTATATAAAAGGTGCAATACGAGCACACGTCATACTTTATAGGAAGTATTCACCGTCGCCCATGGACATTTATAAAATAAGAGGAAGGGCAGGAAAGGGCTGGAACAGGAAAAAGGTAACATGTTCTATCATTCATCGGACTCAACGCAGCCATTAAAGGCTACCTGACGCCGATCTTCAGTGAAAGGGTTATACATCCCTGGTGGAACCAGCCCACGTTCTTGATGTAGGAATTTGACTCAGCTAGGCTCTGCCTCCAATATGGTGTGAAGTTATGAACTCTGTATATGGTGTGTTTTAGAAGTCTACCACTTCTTCAGGAAACAGTTCTACTGAAAGAACAGATATAGTGCCCAACCATTTTAAATTAAATTAATTTTTTTTTAATGCTGATAAAAAAATACGATATTCATTAATTGCAATAGTTGCAATACTATCATAAAAATAAATAAATTAGTATAAATATCTATGTTATACAAAATACTTTATTCATTAAATATATAAATTATTTACAGTATTTTATTAATATCTTAAGTTCATTATCATCGGCCTATCAGAGACCACTGCTGAGGAAAGGCCTCTTCTCATGTGGATAAGGTTTGTACATTAATCACCATGCTTACTCAAGGCGGATTTGTGATTTCAAACCTATAATTGTGAAATTATAACATACACGAGAGGCTGGCCTTTAACTTCTAGGCTACTACTATTCACAATATTAAGTAATATAAATGAATGAAAACTATTCCCCTAATCTTATATATTTAAATGAGCAATTCTTGTATACAGGGTGACTGGTGAATTACTATCGATATTTGAGGACGTGATATTTGACGATCATATATGACAAAATAAAAATTAATATAACATAAATATTAATAAACTTCTAAGTAAAGTTAACCAAAAGTTGTGTAATTAATTACGCATCGTGTGAACACCCTACAGATTAGGTATACACTGACACTCACACATACGCGTGTCGTGACGTAGTGTTGTATCAGCACGTCGCCGCACGCGTCCACACTTGAACATTTGGAACGTGTCAACACTTTACTTATTATTACGGAAATTTTGTCAAAAATTAAGTGCCTATTTTTTTTACATAATTCGAATGAGCATCATGTACCTAGTATTCTCCTTAAATATTGATAGTAATTCACCAGTCACCCTGTATATAACATATTTATTGGAATCTCGGAATCAGCTCTAACGATTAGTAGGGGATTTCGGCGGCGATAAATCGATCTAGCTAAGAATCATTTTTAGAAAATGTAATTTTATTAAAAAGAAATACAAAAGGAGTCTTTTAAAATATGACTCTTCCTGACATCTATTGGCGAATAGTAATACTACTTTTTACTATTTTTGCTTTTGCTAATTGCTTTAACGACACAACAGCAGATGGCGTTGTTAAGTACCAGGAAGTCAATGTTTGTTTTTTCTGGGACACGAATAAACCAAATAGCGTATATTCACCCTTATATTGTGTTGTGTCTTCTTATAACGTGTTCACATAAAAATGCCTAAACGAAATAATAAAAAAATAAACAGGAAATAAATACTAATAATAATATATATTATTTTTAGAAAATGTAATTTTATTAAAAAAAATACAAAAGTAATTTAAAATATGACTCTTCCTGACATCTATTGGCGAATAGTAATACTACTTTTTGCTATTAGCTTTTACTAATTGCTTTAAGGACCCATCAGCAGATGGCGTTGTTAAGTTCCAGGAAGTCAATGAGTGTTTGTTTTTCCTGGGACACGAATAAACCAAATAGCGTATATTCACCCTTATATTGTGTTGTGTCTTCTTATAACGTGTTCACATAAAAATGCCTAAACGAAATAATAAAAAAACAGAAAATAAATACTAATAATGTTATATATTATTTTTAGAAAATGTAATTTTATTAAAAAAAATACAAAAGGAGTCTTTTAAAATATGACTCTTCCTGACATCTATTGGCGAATAGTAATACTACTTTTTACTATTAGCTTTTACTAATTGCTTTAAGGACCCATCAGCAGATGGCGTTGTTAAGTTCCAGGAAGTCAATGAGTGTTTGTTTTTTCTGGGACACGAATAAACCAAATAGCGTATATTCACCCTTATATTGTGTTGTGTCTTCTTATAACGTGTTCACATAAAAATGCCTAAACGAATTTAAAAAAAAAAACACAAAATAAATATTAAAAATTGCTAAATACCGAGCAAAGCTCGGTAACCAGATGTTCATTTATTATAGCAGCATCTTCAGACACGGCAGTAGCTATTTACAAATGTGAAATGCTATGCAAGAATCATATTTTATTGACAGTTTCGTTAAGATTGTAGTACTTAATTATATATAATGGATAAAGGTTGATAATAAATGCGAATTAAAATAAATTGCAGCGTAATTGTTGAGCACTACAAACGATTAAATTTGTAAAAAACAGAAACAACCTAACAAATAAATATACTTTTATATTCACGAATGTATTGAATATTATATTACGTTTTTTTACTAATTTTTTATACATACAAGTTCATGATCCGAAGTTTCGGTTTCTTTTACAACAACCGTGATAACGGGCTCGTACTGCGTAACTAAGCATTATTTGAATGCGTACACACGAAAATCTTAAATTTCAATACTGTATATTTTTTACTAGCTTTTGCCGCGACTCCGTCCGCGTGGAATAGTGACTTCCGGCAGATTTTTGGTTCTTCCCACATAGTTTCCGTTCTTGCGGGGTTTTCGGAATGGTCGAGTTCTAGTAGAATTTTTAGGATACAACCTGTTTTTTTTTTCGAGTTCCAAACTATATCTGTACAATTTCACCCTAATTTTTTGGTCTTAGTTGAAAGGACTATATATAAAGATATAACAACTCGAGAAATATATACGTGTCGTATTCATGCATATTATGACGATAACAACTTTTATAACTTTTTGAATCGTTATATCTCAGAAACAAAAAAAGTTAAATACATTTGTTGTAGATAATTTCATGATCTATAATTTTTTTTTGAGGTTGTTTTCTGATAAAACTTACCGTTTTGCTGAAAATCGCGAAAAACGTCAAGATCAAATGTCAAAAAAATGAGTTTTTCGCGATTTTCAGCAAAACGGTAAGTTTTATCAGAAAACAACCTCAAACAAAAATTATAGATCATAAAATTATCTACAACAAATGTATCTAACTTTTCTTCTTACGAGCCACCGTTTCTGAGATATAACGATTCAAAAAAGTTATTAAAGTTGTTATCGTCATAATATGCATGAATACGACACGTATATATTTCTCGAGTTGTTATATCTCTTTATTTATAGTCCTTTCAAATAAGACCCAAAAATCAGTTTGAAATTCATGCATATTATGACGATAACAACTGTTATAACTTTTTGAATCGTTATATCTCAGAAACGGTGGCTCGTAAGAAAAAAAGTATCGATACATTTGTTGTAGATAATTTTATGATCTATAATTTTTGTCTGAGGTACTTTTCTGATAAAACTTACCGTTTTGCTGAAAATCGCGAAAAACGTCAAGATCAAATGTCAAAAAAACGAGTTTTTGGCGATTTTCAGCAAAACGGTAAGTTTTATCAGAAAACAACCTCCGACAAACATTATAGATCATAAAATTATCTACAACAAATGTATCTAACTTTTTTTCTTACGAGCCACCGTTTCTGAGATATAACGATTCAAAAAAGTTATTAAAGTTGTTATCGTCATAATATGCATGAATACGACACGTACCTATATATTTCTCGAGTTGTTATATCTTTATATATAGTCCTTTCAAATAAGACCAAAAAATCAGTTTGAAATTCATCATAAAATTATCTACAACAAATGTATCTTACTTTTTTTCGCGAAAAACGTCAAGATCAAATGTCAAAAAATTGAGTTTTTCGCGATTTTCAGCAAAACCGTAAGTTTTATCAGAAAAGTACTTCAGACAAAAATTATAGATCATAAAATTATCTACAACAAATGTATCTAACTTTTTTTCTTACGAGCCACCGTTTCTGAGATATAACGATTCAAAAAAGTTATTAAAGTTGTTATCGTCATAATATGCATGAATACGACACGTACCTATATATTTCTCGAGTTGTTATATCTTTATATATAGTCCTTTCAAATAAGACCAAAAAATCAGTTTGAAATTCATCATAAAATTATCTACAACAAATGTATCTTACTTTTTTTCGCGAAAAAAACGTCAAGATCAAATGTCAAAAAATTGAGTTTTTCGCGATTTTCAGCAAAACCGTAAGTTTTATCAGAAAAGTACTTCAGACAAAAATTATAGATCATAAAATTATCTACAACAAATGTATCTAACTTTTTTTCTTACGAGCCACCGTTTCTGAGATATAACGATTCAAAAAAGTTATTAAAGTTGTTATCGTCATAATATGCATGAATACGACACGTATATATTTCTCGAGTTGTTATATCTCTTTATTTAAAGTCCTTTCAAATAAGACCAAAAAATTAGGGTGAAATTCATGCATATTATGACGATAAAAAC